TTCGTCCCTTATTTTTAGCGACGCGTCCTCTGCAACATAATTCTGTATGTAATTTTACTAAGATTTTTACTTTGTAGGAAAACTTAAAAAAGTTTTGATTTTTTGAAAACAATCAAATCGCATTGGATAAAGTTGAAAATAGCTTCAGCTTTTTTTGTGAAACGAATTTAATAGATGTCAACTAAATCATTTGTCTTAAATGGTTATGGACAGGAGATTATAATTTACATTGCTCCGACCACTCATTTTCCATAAATTCCTCAATATTGTAACTTTTCTATTTGTGTATATTCATCCATATCTCTATTCTTGTTTCCTTTTTTATTAATCTAATCCTAAATATGAGCGAGTTTTTTTTTTCCAGATACAGAAATGACACTAGTATAACATAGCTTCAAAAAAAATAGCAGCCCCAATCAGGGGCGGATTTAGGGGGGGGTGGGGGGGGGGGGGGGGCGGACGCCCCCCCCCCCCTCAGGGATTTGACCCCCTGCCGACCCAAAGGGTCCCCCCTTTGATACTTTTTCAGAAATCCATTTTTGGCTGACCGACCCTAAAATTTTTCTAAAGGCGCCTTTGGCGCCAATAAATGCTATTTTTGAGGGGGAGCGCGCGCCAAAAAAACGCATTTTTTTTGTTCAAAAAGTGCCCAAAAACGGTTTTTTGACTGTTTTTTCAACAATTTGCCTGCGGCGCAGAAAATTTTGCCAAAATAAGGGCAAAACAGTGCTTTAGGAGAGCGCGGCGCGAAAAATAAAAATCAATTTGGTCGACCTAAAAAAAAAAAAAAAAGGTCGTCAAAATTTTGGAAAATTTTTTGAAAATCCGCCCCCCCTCGAGAAAATCCTAGATCCGCCCCTGGCCCCAATTAATGATTTAAAAAAGTTTCGGATTTGTTATTACTTTCAATTTTTAAATCCCAGCACAAGTCTTAAGGAAGAGCTTCTTTATAATATCACAATTTATGATTTACTATTTCTGGCCTTCAATTGTTGAATTTTGGAGTCGTACTCCCAACTTGCCTCAAGTCCTGTCGACATGGGTGATATGATTGACTTGCTATTTGTGATTCACAGATAATCTGTCAGTTGCTGATAAGTATTTGATCCCCAACATCTTCTCAGTTAAAGGTTCTTATGTCATTTTTTTATTTCTCACAATTTTTATCACTTTCAAAGACATGATAGAATTCGTTAGTTGTCGCCTGGTAAAACAATTTTGCATGCTAATTTTGTGTCTGATTTGGAAAGGAAAACATTCAAACCAGTCATTTTTCACATGGCTTCGAGTTTACTAACAACATAATTAGTGTAAACAAATGTAAAAAGTCTCTTGGATCTTATTGGAACCTGATCTAAACTACATTTTATGATTGAATAAATTGGATATTTTACCACTGTAAAGTATTTAAAATTAACCAATCATAATCCATCTAACTAACAACCCACTTATTTGTAAGTGCTGAAATTACTTGTAATTTCAGCACCAGAGAGATTTGAATTTAACTTAGAAATTAGTTGTCTCTCCAAGAGAACTTCAGCAGCCGCAACAAACCAGTATACCCTAGATCTATTGAGCCTAGCAGAGACTAGTTAAACACCCTGAGACTAGAAAGTATAAGAGTAAGATTAGGATCGGTATTAGCAGGGGCGGATTTAATGGGGGGGGCGGGGGGGCAGACGCCCCCCCTCAGTGATTCGAACCCCTGCCAACCCAAAGGGTCCCCCCTTTGGTACTTTTTAAGAAATCCAATTTTGGCCGACCGACCCTAAAATTTTTCTAAAGGCGCCTTTGGCGCCAATATATACTAGTTTTGAGGAGGAGCGCGCGCCAAAAAACGCCCCTGGGTATTAGACTAAGAAGTTGCACGAATCTATCCGGCCGAAAATAAGATAGCGTGACGAGCAGACGGTGTACCCTATCCGAAATTACTCTATGAGTTAACCACATCGGTTCTAACTCATTATTAACTTTTTCCCCCTATGGCACCCTGTAACGAATATCCCCCTCCTATAAGGAAAGAATTGAACAGTTAAACATATACGAATTTTGTCCCTTGTTAATTACCCCCCCCCCCCCTATTGCAATAGGGGGGAAATAGCTAACAAGGTCCAGTCTCTTAATGCCGAATGAAAAGATTTCTCAAAAGAGTCAGCTCATCTTTTTTAGACATATTTTTATAAATTGCAAAGCTTTCACTTTCTATAGGTAGACTTGATTAAACCCATAAATTTCGCAGCGCATTTTGTTGTTCAAATCCGTCATTAATCAGCCTTCTGTACCCTTTGAAAAAATTCTCCAGGTGTTTTTGATTTCATTTCTTTTGTTAAAATTTCATCTAAAAGAGTTAAAATTATAGAAACTTTTCATCATTGATTGGTTTTTCATTAAAATTTCGGTAAAAATGGTTAAGCAACGACCATTTCCATTTCATCGGGACCAAATTGCAATCATCTGCTTTGAGACTTTGTCTGTCTTATGCAATTAATAGATAGTTAATAAAAAGTAAAGAAATTTTTTCCAAAATTTTTAATTGGTTATTTTAAAGAAATATCGTAATATCATATCAACGTCGTTTTGATAGCCAAAATTTTCATTCAAAGTACATATGATATTATAATGCTACCTCAGCCTATCAATTCAAAAGTGTCATTAAAATTAGCTCTTTTATTTGCGACTTAGGTTGGAAAAAAAAAGAAAATTCGTACTAACACATTTTGCTTCTCAAGTGTAAATAAAAGTTATTGTTACAAGGAGCGAAATCTATCCTTTTGTAAACACTAACACGTTTATTCTTTAAATCAATCCATTTGCAAGAAATTGGCTCAAATTGTTTTTTTATTCCCCTTTTTTTACCTACCTCAAAATTAGTATATATTGACGTCAAAAACGTATTTATATCGGCGTCCATGGTGATACGCAATAATTATATCCTTCAAACTATCGAAACTCATGTTGTTTCCAAGGGCATATTAACCTCAACTTACCATAAAAAGCATAGAAAATCAACCCGTATGTCGGTTATAAACAGAGGTGCAGCTGAGCATCACTTTCGGTACAACGCATAAGTAGCATTGCGAGCAAGCGAATAGAAAAAGAGACGTAAATAACTAAGTCGGACAAAAATTGTTACTAAAAATTAACAAATTGATTTCAGAAAAACAGTCAATAAAAACAACTACAAGTCTATTTAAAATTTAACTTTTCACTGAGCGTTACTAAGCCGACAATATGTGGCTTTATGCCCATTGAGCTGAAATGTAATTAACTGATGTCATAAAATATTGATCACAAAATTTAAAGATTTGAACTCTTACGAACAAAACTTGAATCATTTTTCAAAAAAAAAACAATCACTTTTGCCCTTCAAACGACGCAAATTAACCTGGCGAAAAACCAATAAGGCCAAATAAATCGTTTAAGGCAAAAACAGGATACCTACAAAGTCAGGGCTAATAAATTGACAAACTACAGTAAATCAACACAATTGCAACTGCAATGAAAAAGACTAACTGCTCAAATCATCCGTGAAATGGTAATTTAGCCGACAAATTATACGCAGATCAAAGACATTCTGACAATTTCTCTGGAATCTGTTAAATTTCTATGATAAAACAAGTTCAATTTTTTACATATTTATTGAAAAGTTGTATACGGGAAATGAATCTAGTTACCAATTAGACTACAACACCCTTGCTCTCGCAGGTGTAATTACCGGTATTTGCAGAAATCGCTCAATGGCAAGGGAACATCTACTTAACTTCTTGAAAAGTCCATGAAGACCAGATACAAAAAAAAACAATGAAAATTTAAATACTATGTCATCAATATCAATACGCTAGCAGAGAACATTCTTTCTGGAAACTCCAATAGTTTTAGAGTCGTGGTCGATACAGCTACACACAGCAAGAGTCGTGATCGAGATAGCTTAAAACTTCACATTTTGATCTAAATTTTTGATCATTTTATTTGCAAAGCAATAAATAGCTATAGTTTTTTCTTAGTCAATAGTTTAGGACATGTGTCAATAGTCTCTTTCGGAAAAAGTTTGTCACAAATCAAAATCAACAGCATATTCCATAGTGCTATAATGTAGGCTATCTTCCCAAAAAACACCCCAATGTTGTAAAGACTCCGTTTAGGGTTGCCGGGGTAGTCGTGTTTGCGGGATCCCTCGCAGTCGGCGTCACGTCTGAATATGTTGTCATAGACTACTTGTGTTCTCTGTGCCATATCTTTCCATTTGTAAATCCCAGACGCCAATCGACTGGTTTGCTCCCTGAAAAAACTCATTTCGAAGTTGCAACCCTTTCACCCATTTTTCTACAGATCGAGTCAGGGATCTAATGTGGCCAAATTTTTGCCACATCACAACCGCTTCCTGAATCAGCAACCAGCAAAAATAAATCTGCAAAGAATTAAAATTTAACCGAATAGAATTGTTAACCGCCCGGCACTTCAATATCATAAAGCTTTATTTTTCAATCAAAATTAATTTCAAGCGGCAATTTTACCACCCAGAACATCCATTCACAGTATAGTTTACAGTTTCGCGCAACTTTTCAACATTTTTTTGACTTAAATACTGTCGGCAATTTTGAAATTGGTTGTCTTCAACATCCTCTCTCATTCAGACAATCTCAAGTTTTCAATTCACGCTTTGCTTTTCTGGTCAGTCTCACGACGGCTATAATAGCCAAACTCCATGTTTTTGTCCAAAAGTTAAACACAGAGAAAAACAACAAACACAAGCAACATAACGCCAATAAATAGCTATAAAAAGTTGAAAAACAAAAAAGCTGAAAAAATACTAAATAAGCTTGAAAATGCCTCGGCGGATTCGAGCCACAGGGCACCAACATCCAAACGGACTACCCTACACAGCTGTACAGACGCTTGTAGAACTCAAACGATAGCCACTAATAAAGCGGATATATCACATGTTATTAAACTGCCAATACTATGCAGTCAAAATGGCATCAAAATTAGCATTATTTTATGCGAGTTGATTTGCAGAGTTGAAACATGTGGACTCGTAATAATTAATATATAGAAATGCTAGCTAGTTCGCTTGTGTAATTACTAAGATTATATATTTGCTCTAAAAATGATATAAAGTAGCAGTTAAACTTAGTATCTACCTGTCCAAAATATCTCCAGTGAGATATTTATCCAGAACAGACTCTACTGCTTTCAAGTAGAGACTGGGGTCAACTGGTGCTAGGGTCATGACCTCAGGAGGGAGCACTTCTGGCACCCCTCCCACCCGGGTGGAGACCACGTGCAGTCCACAACAGGCAGCCTCCACTATGGCTGTGCAGAAGGCCTCAGTTAGAGACATGTTTAAGAATACGTTGCCTTTCACTAAACAACAAAACAAATGATTTCCAGAATTAACGTCCATCATCTAATGATTTTTCTCTGAGCGTTTAATTTCTGCGATGAATGAAATTTTTTTTAAGATTTCAAATTGATTTGTCACAGTGATCTTTTTTAACTCTGAATAAGGCTAAGATGGGCCGCGTAAGCTATCCTTAACAGATATAGCAAAACTGTATCTAAGTACAGTTCTGATATTTTTTGCTAAATGACATTTGAATCTTGATTTTTGATCACAGCTGGACCGTTAACTAGACGATTCAACGATAAAAACAAAAGTTCATTCCTCTTAATATATATAATCCAACCCTGAACAAATAAATACAAAGTCCAAATACATATGAACGTTTTTTTTTAATTTGAGCCATTTTTTTTAAAAAATAAGAATAAACTATGTAAACTGAAACATGTATACTGAGAGAAACAAATTCCTTAAATTTTAAGAAGTTTCTATATGCTTTAAATTTTACAAATTAGCTGCCAAACAGGGTGATTTATAAAAACATAGTCAACCGAAAAATACAAGAGGGTCAATGAACGCACGTAAACAGAACAAGCATACTGTATTGGATTTTTTTGAAAAATCTCAACTTTCGCAGTTCAGAGAAAAAAATAGATATCCTTCAAGCTCTTTGAATTTCTCTAACTATTTATGATTGACACTTTTTAAACAAAACTGACCCAACTTGAGAAAATGGGATCAATATAACATTTTATATTCCGCTGGGAAATCTGAAAAATAAAATCTAAACAAAACTAGAAGTCGATCACGTTTTTGTATGTTTTAAACTTTTGCTGTTCGATAGTGGAGTTTGCCTTCCTTTTAACAAAGTACATGAACTAAACTTAAAAAGAAATCAAAAGACAAACCGCGAAATAGTAAACTTGAGCCTGAAAAATTTTTGAGACTTCCTTCTAAAAATCATCGCGACCTATATAAAAGTCTGAACAACGTTCTTCGACTATTAAAAAAAATTTGCAAAACTTTGCAGAAAACTGCGTTATTCCAAACTATAGGATTAATACAATTCTGATGAAACGACTCCGATACTTTGAGATACCCGGTGTTCTTCAAGTTTTAATTCGCCTTCTAGATTTCAAGTTTATTCGACCAAATGGTTTTTTGGAAAAAAACCTCTACTTGGTAATTTCAAATAAATAAAAAATGGCCTTGAAGCTTTTTGAAAACCAAAATAAATTTATGGTTAACACAATTTTGATAAAACTAAGCCAACTTGAAAAAACCGGAGCAAAAAATAAATTTTAGATTCTGCTGGAAAGCTTAAAAACAAAATCTAGAATAGAACTAGAATTTAAAAAATGAACTTTAAATAAATGAAAGCAAAGTCAAACTGCAAAAATCAAGTTTGGTGTGAACAAACCCTGAGATTTTTTCCTGAAAAAAAAAATCATCACGACCTATATAAATGTCTAACGTTCAATTGCATATAAAACAAACATAACACAAAACTGCTCGGATATAAGGGGAAATCCCTGACCTCCGACTACCATGTAACTTATTTCGAAGAAATTTGTATTTTCCTCAGCTATAACTTCGCTTAAGTTTACAGAAAATATATTAAAATATTATTTTCGAAACTCTGTTTACCTTTTCTCCCAACTGCAATTTTAAAAAAATGTTATAAATGAGTAGGAAAGAGAAATAATGTGATCAATTAGCTTGCTTCATTTGAAATGATTTTGATACGTCGGTTATTTTGCCACGCTATTAAAATTCAAAATGACCCTTTCATTTCCAAGATGAAATTATAGAAAAAAAAACGATTCTCATCAGATAAAACCTCGTTATCAGATAAAACGATTGTTATTGGTAGAAGAGGAGCTTCAGACAAGGCAGAAACAACGAAGCATAGACTTGCGTTATCAATGCAATGCAATTTAAAAAAATTAAATTCGTTTTTGGATTTGAATAACGACATTAATTTTTGCAGGATAATTTTTATGCTTCACGGAACAAATGCTATGAGCCTGAAAGATACGAACTGAGTAAATACTTATATTCTAGACCATATTTACTGCCTTAAATAATATGCAAAGTATTTCGAATAGATACATACAAATGGAACAAGGATAGAGGGCTGCTGTGCAAGAATCACAGAATGTTCCGACCATATTCTTGAACAAAAACTAAAATTTTTTCTTTATTCAACTGAATGTCGTTTTTTTTTCGTGTTTTCATTAAAAAAATTGAACGAAAGCCTTCAACTTTTTCGACACTCAAAATGGAAACGTTTTAGTCGAAAAATGACTAGAAAAACAAAAAGATATCGTAAAAACTAATTTAACTAAATCAAATTTAAATTTTCAGGGCTTTAAGAGGCTTATCTTTCTTTTGAAATAAGCATATTGTACGCCTGCTCGCTCGCTTTATTCGCTTGAAATTAGACTAAAAAATCAAAATTTCAAATCGGTTTTTCTCGACAGAGAAACTTTATTTTCAAATTTCTTAATGTCGTTCGAGTTACGACTTTACGGGCTTCATTATATTGCAGCACTCGAAACTGTCCGCTAATTATTTGTCGTAGCCGATTCTGCGTGGAAAACAAAAAGTTGAAAAAGAAAAAAATAAAACACGAATAACACATTCCTCCCCATTTTTAATGGTCGGAACAAAATTATTCACTCGACCTTTCAATCGGTTTTGTCGCTCAATATGATACTCACTCGGCTGAAACTGAATTTGATTGGGTCTGAATACTATCACATTTGTTGTAAATAAAACACACGAACTTGAAATTCTACGCGTTATTGATGTGAAACCAATTAAAAAAAAACTAAGCAAATTTTCGATTTCGATTTTCAAAGAACCAATTATATCAACTAAAACCTCTTTGAATTTTTAAATTTTCAATGATCGACGATTTTTTGATAGAAACTGATTCAATTGGATGACACTGTCTCAATTGGTACTTTTACATTCTTTTGAAAATTCTAAATTTTAAAATCTAGTTTCGAAACTAAAACAAGCACAATTTAGCGCCATTCGCACGCGTTCTATTGAAATGCGCTATCTGAGTTCCGCTCAAAAACTTCATTTAAAACTTCACAGAAATCAAATAGCTCACATATAATTATCATTGTGAAAAAAAATTCTGAAATAAAAACCCGACCTTTTTAAGTGAACACAACCTGTAATAAAAACATTGACTTAATAATACAGGTATACGCGAAAAAGTGATGATCTTATTAAAAACACAGCGAGTTCCGAAAGAGGGCATGTCAGTGCATTTTTTGTGATGCCAAATGATCAGGAAAATGATTTTTCTAATTGCTTAACATACAGATGCCTCGATCATAAAATATATTCAAAAATGGATCATAAAATATTTTCAAAAATATTCAGTTCTTTCGTATCAATTGTCGTCATTCTCAGAATCCAAAAAATTCTCAGAGTCCAAAACCTTGATTCGAAAAACCTGAAATTCCAGGATCCTCAATTGATGAGCGTTCAGTCTTCTTTTGACATGGATATTCGTTTCCTTTGAGTTCGGAACTGGAATCTTCCCCATTGACAAAAAAATTAGAGTCAATTTTAACAGAACTTAAGTTCTCCTCACTGCTTGTTTGCAAAAGCTCCAATTTATTGTCAAGATTAACATCATCTATAATTTCAGTGTTTACATCTTCAGAGCTCAAAACACTTCGCAAAGGCTCGATCTGCAGTTCATTTCGACTTTCCCAACCTTCGGCTAAATTTTCGCACGATCTAGATTCAGGTAACAACAAATCACCATCATTCGCAATTTCACGCCGCAACATGTCCAGTCTTTTTTCCCGATTATTCGTATTCCAGAGGCCAGAGTTTTCCAGTGTCTTCAACTTCAGTTCCAGTTCTTGGACTCGCACACCCAGTGCTTTATTTGTATTTCTCTGGTGGACTAGAGCTACTGTTTTATCATCCAGACATTCGACTGTAATTGGATGAAGTTATACAAAACATATAACAGAATACTTATACATTTTTATTTAATTACAATAAAATGGGAACCCAATCAATGAGTTCTAAGAATAATTTTAATAATCAAAAATAATTTTATTACAAACTTCGCTTTTTTATTCCAATAAAAAACAGAATATAGTCTCTATTTGATAGCCAAAAACTACGATTGACTCAAAAAACTACTGTCAAAAACTAGGACTGAATACAAAAGGGTCAAAAACTAGGACTGAAAAAAACTGTCAAAAACTAGGACTGGCCAAGAAAATTCACAAAAATTTTACATGTTTGTCTGATTAAAAAAACTACCGCACTTATTAATATAACTTCACCTAAAGTGGTTGCTAGACCGTGTAAGTCCCCTACAACCTGTCTGCTTACAGGCAACCCCAACCGTTTAGTCCCCAGTAAAAACTCTTGGATACTTCTGACTGATTGCATGGCTTGCATTGAGCTCCTGATGAAGATCGATTTAGCCCTCACTACTGAATTTGAATTGCTGTTGTTGTTATTATTCTGAGACACAATTTGCTCTTCAAAACTTTGTTTCAATTTCGAATATTGGTCTTTAAGCGAAGTTTTCTCTGCGTTTAGCTGCGTGATATGCTGTTTTAAATATTGATTTTCAAGCGTCAATGCATCAATATCAACAATACTCTTATCCGATTCGTTTTTCAAAATATAATTCAACTCCCGATTCAAACGCTCAGCTCTCTGGTAGAAAAACTCTTTCTCAGCCTTATACTGTCGTAAGCTATCTTTGCAAGTGGCTACTTCAATTTCCAATTCGCTTACTTTACTTTTCTCAAGCTCTAATCGGTCCAGAGCGGCTTCGAGCTGTGAACTTTGTTGGGTTCCGCCGTAACTATTTGAATTTGAACTTCTAATTGACGAACTTGATGATCCGATGTCATTCATAGAGAAGTTTCCAGTTCTTTGTCTTGTAACAGTTTGTCTTAGTAGCTTTATATCTTCCTCTGAATCTTTTAACCTTTGATTCAAACTTTCAACTTCTTCGCGTAAAATTGACCTTTGTTTGATCAGATCTTTGACCGCTTTTCCCAATGAACCCTTTGAACCATCTTGTGCATATTTATCCAGGAAATTCAACTCGCTTTGACTTGCCTCAAAATTAGGCAATTCTTTCACTTCCTTCAATACATTCGGCTTAGTTCCCAGTCGGCTAGACGAACTGATTTTTGCAATAGTCGACGCCGGACATTCGCAGTTTTCCATGTATTTTCTCAGAACTGAAATAAGTTGTTCACGCTCTTCCATGCAAGATTCAAGGTCACTCGCCACAACCAGAAGCGCTTCGCGTTTGCTTTGCAGCTTTTTCTTGCTCATTGAGTACTGGTAAACTATCTCGTCGATCAAGTGTTCGTATTCTCTGCAAACAGCGATTATCATTTTAATAGAAGTCAATTTTTTTTTTGAATAAAGTGATTTCAAATAAATTGGAAGATGTTTTTAAGTTTAAGCAATCAATTGAAATCATAAAGCGTTTTCTACTTACATTAGTTGAGATAAAATCTTAGAAAAATTTCGAATTAAGTTAAATTTCAAACTGCTATATATTTTGGCCTCTTTAAAAGTATGAGAAAAAAATTCACCGGCCTTCAAATTTTGTGAGATCTTTCAAAAAAATTCTCAAAATCACAAAAAGAATAACGATAGTGAAAAATAAAATCAAAGTTGATAAGATTCGTTAGCCTAATTATTATCAATTGGTGTTTTCAAATAAACTTTCCCTTCATTACCTGCGACTGAGGAAGAAGTACTCCCAGTTGAACGAGTCGATCCACCAAGGCAGTCGGGAAGGTCTGAAAGCTTCAGTGTTGCTTCTCCTTCTGAACTTCTGGTGCCGTTTTAAAAATGAATCCTCTGCTTCTGTTTCTTCTGCTATTTCTTCTGAACTTGAGAAGTGGCTGTGCTTCCTTATACCAACAGGAGACTTGACGGAATAGAATTCAGTAATGTTTGCCGACATGGCAGAATGTATATAATTCAACTAATCGTGTCAAATTCAAATTATGTTGACAGAAAGGATGAAACTGAAATGAGATGGTAATAGCTTTATCTTTTTTTCACACTACAAATTTGGTTGTACATTTAACTATGAAGTTGGTATTTAATTGATCTGTTGTGAAACTTTTAAATTCAGCAATGAATGTTTCCTCAAACGAAATGAAAAAACCATATGTTGCCTGTTTGCTTTGCTCGAGTAAAATTGAATTGAAATTGAGACAACATGTTTTTATACAGCACAGTATGGTTTCACATGGACAATTTCTAGCTTTTCTATTTCTAGAAATTAAACAATATGTATACTTTCCTGTTGAAGCTCGAACGAAAAATACTCGCAATGCAAAAACCACATTTCTAATGAAAAACACACGGCAATTTCAATGTTGGTCCTCAAAAGCAAATATTGTCAACGGCCACTCGCAATATTGTCAACGGGAATTTCAACGGCCACTCTTCGGTAATATTTTATTCACAGAGTTCAAGCAAGGAGTAGCAAAACTTCAATGCAGATTAAAAATTGGCACCGAAACAGGAAGATCTCGACCTAATTGAAATATTTGAAAAATATATTTTCCCGACTTGATGAAAAAATCAAGAAAGTTATTTTTTCAAAAACTGAAGCAGACATTAATACAAGCTTTTGAAGCAGTATATCGCTCTCAAATATTCATATACACTTTGAAGAGCAATCAAAATACTTTTGGAAATCTTAAGTGCCACTCTATAGCCATCTGGCCACCAGGAGTTTCGAATTGGTCAATTACAAAAAAAGTCACAAAAATTGTCTGTGAGAGTTTTTTATAACTCAAATATTCAAAAATATTATGTCTGATAGGTTAGTCAACTTTAAACTACGGATCAATTATAAGTCTAGAGGAAATGCAGCTAGCAATCCGAAAATACATGCCAAAACATGGAAAACAAAGGAAAAATTACACAGAGATAAAGCAGAGCGTGGCAAACTTGCGCTTCAAAATGGAAATGAACACAGAGGCGAAGCTGCGCTTCGCAAACACTTGCAAGAACACGACCGAAAAGCAGCTCTATCAAGTTGAATAAGAAAAAGTAGAAATTAGCCTCGAATTAGCAAAACCTCGGCTAAGTGTAGAATTCGAATCTGCGACCTACTGCAATCAAAAGAAGACTTTGAGCCTCACGCACTATCCCCTCAGCCACTCGAGATTAACAACCGAAAAACACTAGTTCGTCACTAATAAAGCAACTACATCTGCTAACAAATCGCCAAGGCGATTCAACACCGAATACAAATAGACTCAATTTTACTATTAATAATTTGGAATATAACAAACTGAAAGCATTCACACTAATTGTGTATGTAACAAATTGCAAAGCATAAAACCACATTACGTATAGATTATGCATTTCAAAAAATTACGAGATATATTGAGTTAAAAAATTTCTGAAATCGAGTTTTATTATTCTGATGTTGTTTGAAACAAATAGCTTTTTTCGGTTCATTTGATGAATTAAAAATGCATCAACTGTGTTAAATTATTACTATTCGAATGTCAAAGAACATGCTATCAGAAAGCTGAAAAGGTGCCCCTCCATAAAAGTGCCGCACCAATATTTGCGACTTAGGTTGGAAAAAAAGAAGGTTCGTAATAATACACTTTTTTGATAGCATGTGCTTTGACATTCGAAAAGTAATAATTTAACACATTTGATGCATTTATAATTCATCAAATGAACCGAAAAAGCTATTTGTTTCAAACAACTTCACAACAATAAAACTCGATTTCAGAAATTTTCTAATTCAATATATCTCGTAAGTGCAATTATTTTTCGCATGCTCGAATTGAAAATTATCGCCAGGATGCAAAAATTACCGAAATTCCGAGCACTGCTTTATTTTGGGGAAATTATTGGATTTCTTCATTATACTATTGGATTTCTATAAGAATAATTCTTTCTTCATAAAAAGAATTATTGGATCTCTTCATTATATATTTTTGATTTTTTTGCGAAAATGATTCTGCGCAACACGAACAGCAACTGTAATTCCTTGTTTTTTCCTTCATTTATAATTTTGCACAAGATGTAATTTAATAAACATACACAGAGGTGAAGCTGCGCTTCGCTAACACTAGCGAGAACACGAAAAACCTGCAACTTAGATATAATGAGCCTCACACACTAACCACTCAGCCGGAGATGCTTCATATATCACAAACACTAGCCACAAATAAAGCAGAGAACAGATGCCGGGCAATTTCCAATGCTACAGTGAAAAATCCAAATAAGTGAGTACTTTTAGTCGTACTTATACACTAACGCTCGCTAGTGTGATTGAAGCAAGGTCAGTTGCTGTGCAAGTAGTACAAAACATTGCAGCCAAACCAATTGAAGTAAATCAATTCAAAATACAAAAACAATATTTTAAAAAAATGAAGAAAAAAATCATTTTTCCATCCCCATTAACTTATTTTTCAGTTAAGGGCGATTGAAATACGTACAAATCTGACAAATGAAAGGTAATATAGCTAATTTGATATAGGAAACGCAAAATAATTAAACAGAATTCAATATCTTATCGTGCCATTTAGTCTGAAAAACGAAAAAAATTCAGACCACTTTTTCTCCAAACTGAGACAACCTTTCTTGGGAATCTTTTGGGGAATTTTTATTTTGGGAATCTGAAAAACGGCTAAAAAAAGGCTTTAATATGATACCGCACATGACCCTAATTTATTTCTTAGTGTAATTAAAACCGCGCAAATAAACTCCAACTAGCAACTTAGAGAAGGTCTAACAAAAGTTGAAGTCAAAAACTTTTCTCTGTCATTTTCCATAACACTAAGCTAATTAATTTTTTGCGATCAACCTGGCTTCTCTCGAAATCATTTCACTGAGGGGCTTGAAACTGAACTTGACTAACCCAGTATGTCTCTGACTCGCTCGTGTTTCACACTGCCGTAGAAGAAGACTCGGTCCTGCAAATTGTTCTTCTCAGTTATCTCCTCAAGAAGCACCATTTTGGGTCCATCTCCCCCTATGTGGAAGTGCACATTTGGATATTTCTCACAGAGGGGGACCATTATCTTGCCCAGAATATCAATTCCCTTACAGTCGAATACAATACCATCAGTCAAGATTATCCCAGATAATCCTAGCAACTGAGTTTATCTAGAATTTTTCAATCAAACCGGACAAGATTGACGAGCAAAGTTTTCATTGTCAACAATTTAAGTTGAGTCTAAGTTAGGCGTGATAATTATTTTGAAAGAAAATCAATCTGCTTTTCAAATTTAAACAGCGCAACAAAAAAAACTGAATAAAACTCCAAAAAATTATAAAATTTAGAAAAAAAACTAACAAAAAATACAACAGTTGACAATTTCAACTGTCGCGCCAAAAATTACACCAAAATATTATATTCCTCCTGCCTGAGCACATTTTTCAAAAATATGTCTGCCGATATTGTATTCTGCCTCGTTTCACTTCCCTTTCTGTACACCAGTCGACTCATCACGACCAATCCAATTCTGCCCCCTCCGCTGTCACAACTCAAGTGGGGGTAGAACACTCGCGTGTCCACTGCATTCGGAATCACGTAGATCAGCTCCGGCTTCACTTTCCCCCTCAGGACTGTGTTCTCTTTCCCCGTATGACTCACACATATTGCACTGTCTACATTCCACAGTGCTATTTGAAGAACCTACGAGAAACAATTAATTGTAGCCAAGAGACAGATTAAAAAATTACTGAAAAAAAATTAAGATTCAAACCATTTGAATAACCATTTGAGTATTAACAATTCGAAAATTTTCTTTTTGAAAAAGCAACTATAAAAACCCCACAACAAAATTCGCTTCATCCAGTAAATAATCTGGAATTCATAAAGTCGACCGTTATTTTAAATCCAAATTATGGCATAGATGCTCTTCCCTCCTCGGTGATTCGACCCCGGACAATTTGGTACTACTTTAATACATCCATATTTGGCTAAAAATGTTCTGAGTAATATTGAGGGGAGAGCGCACGCTAAAAAACCCGCGCGTAAAAATTGCTTTTTTTGGCCTGTTTTTAAAATACGCCAGAGGAGCAGAAAATTTTGTCAAAACTTATGCTTTACAGCGCTTTGGGAGAACTCGCAAAATCATTTTGGTTGGCTTAAAAAAAGTTTATTTTTAATCACCAACCCTTGAGAAAGTCTTGTGTTTAAAAGTCTATGTCTAAAAATCTCTTCTCAAAAAATACAGAAATTTCAACAACACTGCGCGAGATGAGCCTCTGTAAACAAACACATTGGCTACTTTGATTGCAATAAGGTTTTGTTCGGTTGTTATCTTCTCAACTCCAGATTTTTCTGAAATCAAACTAGCGTTTATCACACCTCCGGTGCTTCGAAATTTAACGAAAACTCATGAAAAGCCGCATATATTGGAAACAACATTTGCAAACTTTTAGTGCACTCTGACTGCACCCAATTAAAGGGTTGGTAATTTCGAACTTTTTATTTTTTTAAATTCTCATTTTAAAAGCGTCATCTTGAAACTTAATGGGTCTCAGGAGAAACTTGGAGGCCAGATTTACAACCACTGAGAGTCCCTGAGAGCACCCTAATGTAGGGTTAGAAATTCAAAATTTTGTGAATTTTTTTAAACCTGTTTCCCGAAAAAAAAAATTTTAAAAAAACGTCTTATCTCGGAAACTAAAAAGATTTAAGCATTCACATTAAGACGCAAGATTTAGGACGCCAGGCTGCACGCTGACAATAAAGTTGTATCTTCATCGAGCTGGTAGTTTCATTTTTTGAATTTCTTGGTAGATAAGTTCTTTGAGAAAGTTTGAAAAATCAAAAAACGTCACATCTCGGAAACTAAAAGCATTTGAGCAGTCGCGTTTAGCAGTCGCATGTGGCAAGACTTGCAACTCTTTAGGGTACCCTGACAACACCGAACTATAGCGTTGGGAATTTCAAATTTTGAATAATAATTAATTAAAATTTTCTGAAAATTTTTCAAAAATCACAAAAAACGTCATATCTCGAAAACTACAACAAATTGAGCAGTCATACTTGGAGGAAAGATTCGCAATCCTTGAGAGTAATCTGACAGGACCTAACTACAGGGTTGAGAATTTCAGATTTTGCGGGAAAAAAATTAATATAAGTTTTCTGAAAATTTATTGAAAAAATCACAAAAAATGTCATATCTCGAAAACTACACGGATTTAAACAGTCATATTTGGAGGCAAGATTTGTAATTCCTTAGATTACTCTGACAGCACCCAACTGCAAGGTTGCAAATTTCAAATTTTGAAACATAATAAATTAAAATTTTTGAAATTTTTTTTAAAAAATCACAAAAAACGTCATATCTCGAAAACTACAAAGAATTGAGCAGTCATATTTGGAGGCAAGATTCGCAATCTTTGAGAGTACTCTGACAGGACCTAACTACAGGGTTGGGAATTTCAGATTTTGCGGGATAAAAATTAATATAAGTTTTCTGAAAATTTATTGAAAAAAATCACAAAAAATGTCATATCTCGAAAACTACACGCATTTAAACAGTCATATTCCGAGGCAAGATTTGTGATTCTTTAGATTACTCTGACAGCACCCAACTGCAAGGTTGCGAATTTCAAATTTTGAAAAATAATTAATTAAAATTTTCGGAAAATTTTTAAAAATGGAGGCAAGATTCGCAATCCTTGATAGTACTCTGACAGTACCCAACTAAAGGGTTGGGAATATCCGATTTTTTAAAAATAATAATAATTTAAGTTTTCTGAAAATTTTTGAAAAACTCACAAAAAACGTTATATCTCGAAAACTACACGGATTTGAGCAGTCATATTTGGAGGCAAGACTCGCAATCCTTGATAGTACTGTGACAGTACCCAACTACAGGGTTGGGAACTTCAAGTTTTTTAAATTTTTTTGTTATTTGAACTTTCTGAAAATTTTTGAAAAAATCTCAAAAATCGTCTTTTCTCGTTAACTAAAATGATTCGGGCATTCAAAATTGGAGGCCAAATTCGCAACCCCTAACTCGATATTGGGCTGCTTAATTTAAACTTGCTAAACTAACCACTAAAATCAAATTAGAAAATCGAAAAAAAAAATTTTCAACCAATGAAATATACGATATAGCTTAAGCACGCAAAAATAATGCGTTGAAAAGGCTTAAACATGGCGAGATAGTGAAGCCCGCATTTAAATATATAATAGATAACAACAGAAGTTCAAAACTGACTCAGAGCGGAGCTTCACGTCGATGTTGAAAGACAGGGAAAAACCAATAAGCAACAAGACTCGTAGATACTCCCAAAACAAAAATGCTTGATTTTCAACAAAACTCTTAAATGAAACGATTGCAGCAAAACTAAAATGCTTACCCAAAACTCTCAAGCAAAATTAAACGCCAGAAATGATATTATACTAGATATGGTTACCGAAATAACGCAGACTTTTCGAAAATGGCAATTACGAATGCAAATGGCAATTACGAATGTTTTTTTTTACTCTACCCAAATCTCTTAAGTTTTAATTGCATGCACTGCTGAGAATAAGTGGTTTAAACATAGAAACATTTGCTTCATTTAGAAAAGCTTCCGTTCTATTGAAATAAGTCTCATAGAAACAAGTCGACATACAATTACCTGAAAATGATTTTTTGAAAAACCACAAAAAATTTAAGGCTTAAAAAGGTTCAAAAATTTTCCTTTGAAATATATATTTTTTTCCTTTGCAGAAATACAAGTACTCACCTTGTTTGTGATTATTGCACTAGTATCTGCGAAACCGAATAGAGAGTGATCAGTGAACACTGTCTTCAAGTCAGGGTTCAAAAATATTGCATGAAACAAGGCCTGGTTTCCAATAACAGAGAAGGCGCCATGCGCATGAACAATTTCGATCTGTTCACGGATGAAGATATTACGCAATAGCGGAATCGTAAGGATGAAAGAAGGCAGAATAGCTTGATTGTAGACTGGTTTGAAAGGTAAATAATATGTCTTGATTCCTGGAGGCAAAAATATTGGTAAGTCATTGAGTATTTTCCTATTCAAATTTTCAAATTTCAACTCAAAAAGGTAAAATATTACTTGAAAATTCTGTCCACATTTAAATTTATTGAGCAGAAGAGCTATTTTATGCATACATTTTTTACTCTTCGCATCTTTAAATTTTTGGTAGGTCTTCCATAGCCATTGACATAAGACGTGACACAGAAGCAAAAAGAATTGAAAGCTACGAAACAGATAGTGAGACGAAAATAACTAAATCGAAAAAATGAAAAATTCAATTTCATAAAAGCTGACGAAAAACAAAACCAGTAACATTAGGCAAGCTTTCAGTATTTAACGAATGGTCTCTAAATTGGCAACACGTGGTTCGACGCCCATTTAGCCGAAAAAAAGCCAACAAAAAATTGTTGTCATAACAAAATTTCGAGCGATTGACATTTAAATTTTATAGTATGACCTAATTTATTTCAGACAATAATTATTTTTGCCCTTAACCCGATAGAAAACAAATCACTACACCGACAAAACAAGCCAAAACCATTTAGGCCGAATAAAATTTCTAAGAGAAAAAAGCAAAAAAAAAAGTAAATATACCAATCAGGATTAGTGAATTTACAAACTACAGGAGTTAATCAACGAAACTTGAGACTACAAAACTGCTCACAGCGCTACAAATTTCGTAGTGTGGCAACTAAGCCGACAAAATATGAGCCGACAAACTATAGTCCAACTACTCAATTTTCCCCGGCAAAAAGTTTTCAAATTCAAACACCGAAAAAAAACCCAGACCATAGGGTGCAAAGGCGACCGCATTACCTATAGACTAAGTGGGATGGGGCCTGGAAGTTGCTTAGGTTCGTTCGATAAACAAGAATAACCGACTGCTGTGCAAGTAACGCAGAATGTTCCGATCACGCTGATTAGGCAAAAGAATTCAAAACCAAGAGCAAATTTATTTTGAAAAAGTTTTTTTTTTCAATATTGGTCGAAAACTGGCTTTTTTTGAAAAGTTCAATTGAATAAGGTGAGCTAATTAGAACAAGTGGTAATGATAGCAAAAAAAGGGTAAAACTGAATTTAACTGGAGGTTAGCCAAACTTGTAGGAGTCAAGTGTCGTATCATAATAAGACCCTATTTGTCGTTAGTGGGATTCTAAAAAGGTCAAAAGCTCTCTCAATGTCGAGACAAATTTTTAAACCAATCTTTCTCGACATTGAGAGCATGTTTTTTGATTTTTTAAGAACTCACTATCAACTAATATGGCTTTATTACAATCCACAATAGAAATCCTAGGAGCTTTCCTTGAGGTAGTCAAAATTAACAAAAAAAAATTAAAAACGGACCACGCGCTCTTTGAGTAGTCACAACAATAACCTGCTTAATACATGTATGCCAACGTAGAAAAATAAACACCCAACAGAAAATTGTAAAATTATCAATTAAACAAAAAAATCCGCAAAATACATTTTTTTGAAGAATTTTTAATTTTCGAAGAAAAAAAAAACTATCCCGTTGAAGCTCTTTCAATTTTATTAAAATTTTATGATTTTAACTTTTAGTGTAAATCCAACACGAATTTATTTTTCATCATGAATTTCGTCTTTTTTATCATGAATTTCGTTGATGGCTATTATAAGAGCAATGGTATCTATTAGCACAGAAACTTCTACTTACGTTTCCATTAATTTTATATGAAATAGTGACTTAAAAATAAATGTGTGATTTTTTGTTTTTAAATGGTGTGGCTTTTTGTCTATTTTCGGGAAAAATCTCATCCTGCTCCAAAACTCTCATCATGCTCTCAAGGGAAAAAATAGGCTTAGCAATTACTTAATGGAAATAGTGCAAAGATTTTTATTTTAAGGTTTTGCTGCAAAAAGAAGTACATAACCTATTGACCCAGTTTTCTCTATTTGATAGCCTAATTAGTCCGCATGTTAATTTGTAACAATCGCTCAATGTGAGCAGAACTATTCCAAAAGTAAATGTTCGCAGTTGGAGGAAAAATAGCCCAAAATGCTAAAACTTCGAACTACCAAAACAGTTTTTCTTGACACTGAGAACCTTTTCGATTATTTAATTTTTTTTAAGTTTGCTTTTCACGCAAAATCAGGTACCACGAATAATCATTCAATTGGCTCGGATTATATATCATATTGAAGCCCTTTCAGGCGCGATTCGAACAACATTTAAGTATTTTCAAAAACCTAATTAGTCCGCATGCTAATTTGAAAATCTATGTTAGCAGAAAAACTGCCAAGAAAACATTCGCAGGGTGGAGGAAAAACAGCCAAAAATGCTAAGACTTCGAACTACCAAAACAGTTTTTCTCGACACTGAGAACTTTTTCGATTATTTATTTTTTCTTCTGTTTATTTTCCACGCAAAATCCGCTACCACAAATAATCATCCAATTGGCGCGGATTCTATATCATATTAAACCTTTCAGGCGCGATTCGAACAACATTAAAACATTTTAAAAACTTTTTGTCAATGTCGAGAAAAAACCGGTTTGATATTTTTGATTTTTGGTATAATTTCGAGCTAGGTTACACTAGCATATTTAAGCTTAATTTTAGCCGAGACAGTTGGATTTTTTTAGCGCCATTTTGGGAATCATTTTTAATTGTTGTTTAATTTTTTTGTTTCACTAATCAATTTTCTAAAAAAACTGTTTTCCAATTGGCCGACTTGACTATGACTGTTGAATATGCCTTAGTTCTATTTTTTCGTCCAGATGTTTTCATCACACCACATAGAAAAAACTATTATTTAAAAAAATGGTCAGATCATTTTGTGATATTTGCACAATAACCGGGGCTCCTTAATTCTATTTATTTTAATTTCTGGCCAAATCAAATTTTAGTATTCTTTAAAATTTTTATGGAACTCATGGCATTTCATTTTTTTAAAAACCACATGCCTTGGAAAAATTAGTATTTCATTTTTTGCCAACTATTCAAACCAGCATTTACTAGATTTCATCATCGCATTACTTTTTTCCAGGCATTGTAAATTTACATTGCTATAGTGTTGTGTCATACTTCACATTTTTGTTCGAGTTTTGTATAGATTTTTTAGATCAAAGACATCAAGTGACGTAACAAATTGAAGCTTACTCGCGATTTACAATCCTTAAGATGAGAAAATGATCCATCTTAAAATGAGAAAACTGGTCCAAAAATTCATTGTATGAGACAGATTTTTAGCGGTGATAATCGACTGATTTTCACAGACTTCAAACACACAACTCGCTTTCGACATGTTTAACCATATTTATGGTACTATCTATCTTCACTGTAATACTGCAATCTATGAAAACAGCAGGAATATTTGAAAAGAAAATCGTTTTTTTTTTCTTTTAGAACAAGTTACAGGGGTCAGAATATTGTCCTAAACCCACAGCAAAGTGCTTTTCTTGTTATCTTTAGAACTTTGTTTTGTTTCTAGCATTGTAATTTTACATTCCTATAGTAGTGTTTTTTTCTTCAATTTTTCAAACTTGCTATTTTCTTTGCATATTTCAATCCTTTCCTGCTAATTCTAGCAGTTGATTAGCAGAGACGACTGTACCAATTTGTTTGCCTTTGGTGATGTATCTCACTCCCTTTCTGTCGCCATATGCATGAGTCACTATAGTCACAGAGTGGCCTAACTCTATGAGACAGAGAGACAGCTGGAAGATGTGACTCTCCACCCCTCCCACATTTGGGTAGAAGAAGTCACTGATCATACAGATGTTGTAACCCATACTTTACACGACAGTTAATCCAACACTAACAAGCCAAGAATGCGCTTTGTCTTAATATTCGTGAATCTATATTTAACGACGTAAATTTCAACTTCTTATGCATTTCATGCTCATGTTTCTTACCTGAAATTGTGAAACCATTCTTCAAACTTCGCTCTCGTTCATTTCGAACAAGAACTTAAGGTAGAGGGCCCACCAATAAAAAAAAGCTGCACAGACAATTTAAAACCATTAGCAAGTCGAAAATAGAATGCAAATTCTTCCACCGCCAGAATAGATCTGGAAGAAAAGGTTCGCTCTTTTCGTACATGAATAGCGCAAAAACACTCGGAATCAAATCTCGGAGCCCATTTTTGATTTAATACGTTAACTATACAGATATGATGGCTCTTTTTCCTAAACGGTCAGTTTTCAGAAAAGTTCTATACGTCAATATTTTTTGCTCAGATTTTAACTGCCGTATCATTATTCTGGACAAACCTTGAAGCACTTGTTTTGGGCAATTTGTGGAAATTTTTAATTATGCTCGCTCAAATGCAATTTTTATTTGGGTAAAAGTATGGTCGGGTCGCTCAAAAAAAAGAGGTCGAACTCTTGCAAAAACACATGTTGAGCCCTAAATCAACTACTACACTATAAATACTTAATAAGCCTATTTTACAATTTCGCATACCTAATTTTTTGAAGCATTTCTTTATATTCGGGCTTTTGAGTAGCTGTTTATCGCAAATAGCAATTTATCTTTGTGCAATTCTGGAATATCGATGACTTAGACTATAATTCCAGAGACCAAACAAAAAAATTTTGTTAAACTAATTTTATTGTAGCGAAATATAAAGACAACTTCTATAATGCGTATCTAAAAATATTACACATTAATAATTTCATAGATAATGATTATAATGCAATTGTAACAAATTGAACTAAGAATTTGTTTGTGATAAGGCTTTAAGATGAAACTAACAAACAGTTATAGAACGCTCAAAACAAGCAATCAACAATTCGCTTAAATTTTATTTTCATCGAAATTGATAATTATCAACTAATTTATTGACTCTTTCCTCTCCACATCTCAAAACCTCATTTTGACCTTGTAATCTATATTTTTACGGGCATATACGAAGAATATATTAGTTTTGCCTGTCAAAAACGTGAACTTATTTTTTATGAAATTGCGGAAGTTAGAAGAAAGAGCTGAGCTAATCGATGTTTATAATTAGTTATCTCGACGGATCGCATTGGGGACAGAAGAAATTCTCTACTAAAGAGTAATGATTCATGTCTGATATGGCTGACTTCCTTCTAGTCATGGGACTGCTGGAGTAGTTCTGCTGCTGTGGGCTCAAACTAGCCCTGTGTGTTGCAGTGTGCTGCTGAACTGCTAGACAATCCGAGTGGAAGCAATGCGAACAGTTGAATGTAGTGATGCCACCTCCTAAATAGTGCAGATTGAACCACCTTTTCTCTCCATTGCGCTTTTCGGAACTCAGAACCATGCTTGCATTTTAAGATTCTTTCAAGGTCATATACAAAGGCCAAACGAGTTTCGCATCTCGAAAAAAATGAACTAAAGCCCTACATTTCTAAATATTCACTCTGGCAAAAACTTTAATTTATTTAGTAAATCAGTTTGGCGCGGTAATTTTCGTTATATGAACTATTTCATTTTGAGTTGAACACCCGCTTAGACATGGCCATTCGGATTCTTCAGCAGGCTGAGATTTTACAATCTTGCAGACCTTCCAGTATATTATTAAGCAAATAAAAAAAAACTATTTGCTATATCCACTGAGCAAAAAAAAACCTCTCGCCATAATAAAAAATTAATTGTGGGGTGGGTCCAAAAATCATAGAAAGAAGGGATTCTGTACAAGAAACAAGGATAGCCGACCATATTCATAAAAAACAGAACGTTTTTTTTAAAATTCAAAATGGTGTCGTTTTTAGTGGATGGTGTAATTCCAAAATCTACAATCGCGTAGAAAATTAGTGAATTATGCATGATCGACAAACAATTGTCTTCAAAAAAAGAATAATTAACATAAGAAAAAAAACTAGAAAAAATACAATTTTTCGAACTCTTTGATCAATAATTTTTTTTTTGGAAAACCTTTTTTTGGCGCACAATTGCTAAATGAAACATCCAAAACTAGTTTAAATATAGTTAAATCTACTTTTTTTATCCTCAAATTCAGATAATTTTTATATAACAAGCTTTACTCGATCGCGTTAATAGCTAGAAATCGACGAAAAAATCAACAACTTCCAACCGGTTCGTTCGAATTACAACTGAAAGGTCTTTAAAATGATATATCACTCAACTCACTCCAATGATTATTTGTGGTAGCTGATTTTGCGAGGAAAAAAGCTAACACTCCCGAATGCAAAGTTCCTCCCAAAACCGTAAATGTGCCCAAAAAGTTGCACCAATATTTGCGATACCACTTGCGATACACAATCAAAAGCCACTAATCAAAAATGTCGAAACAATCAGATCTATCGAAATGAATCAGGCTAGTTTTGAAACAAAAACTTATCAAGGCAAGCGAATGTGAAAATCGTATCAAAAAAAAACCCCAAGCGGTAACAAAGCGGAAAATACCTAAACAGAAACCCTTCAAGACAAAAATCAACAAGACTTAAGACTTATAAAAAGTTATCAATTCACCTCACCCTCACAAACTTATTTGATTGTCAAATGAAAGAATATAAGGCCATCAAGCAGATATAATTTAGATCGAAACCTATTCAGCCGAAAACAAGAAAAATAAAAAAAACTGCAAAAAAGCCGAAAAAAAATCAGAAAATAATTCGGACTAAAAAATATCAAGTCCTCCTAAGCTTGAAAACACATACACACGCACATACTCAATTCTTTTTTCGAACGTCAAAAGACGCAATATGAGCCATTAAGCCGATATAATAAAGGCTGAAACCTATCGAGCCGAAAATACAATGTTCTCATGAATATCAAGCGATCCATTTTTTCGCTTTATTGAAGGTTCAATATAAGGCCCTTAAGCCGATATAATGAAGGTCGAAACCTATCAAGTAAAAAAACAGAAAAGCCGGAACAAAATTTTGCCATAAAATGTTATGGCAAGGGTAAATAAGCGTTGTAAGGTATAAACATAACAAACAGACAGTTGGAAAATTTATAAGTCAACGGGCGCAAGGAAACAGCAAAAAAACGGACTTTCGAACTTCAAAGTAAAAAATTTTGGCCTTTAACGCTCTTGGAATTTCAAGAACAATTTATGATCAACACATTTTGATAATATAAAATCAATTTGAGAAAACTGGATCAAAATGTGAATTTTTTATTCCGCTGAGAAAGCTGTTAGTTTGTGGAGTTTGCCGTCATTTTACCCATAGGCGATGCTGCACTCCACAAGCAAGAAAAACGGCAAAAATAAACTCTGATAAAGTAAAATAAATGAAAAAAAAATGAAACGCCTACAACAATGAAACAATTGCTATGACCAGAATCGAACTTCCAACCTGGCGACAAGGAGTCTCACGTCTTAGCATCTGCTCCACGTTTGCTTGAAAATTTACTGACACTAGCTGCCAATACAGCAACTACAGTTAAAAGCAAAAAAATATCTCAAATTCATGAACAAACACTTACGCAAAACAGATTCCAGAACCTGTTTTTCCGGTCAAGCCCTTAATGCTAGATATTGGAGGGTAAATTGAAGAAATGTGAAAGTTCTAGATATTGGAGGGTAGCTTGGAAGAAAAGTGAAAGTTCATAAAAGTGGTCAAAATGTCAAAAAAGGCAGCTTTCAAGGCCATTAGTTTTTTCTTTAAAAAAACAAGGCGTAGCCGGTTTGGCAAAAAACCATTTCAACAAATTGTTCATTCGATTGAGCTCAGATTTTTTGGGGTAAGTTTCAAGAAGTCAAAAAATTTTCAAACATTTTTAGAATGTCAAAAATGGCTACTTCCTTAGAATGTAACGTCTTTCTACATAAGGGCGTACCGTCAATGAACGCAAACAGAAAAAAAAGTTTCATAACAAATCGCAAGTTTCAATTTTCCTACACAAAAGATGTCTTTAGAGCTCTTTGAAATTCTAGAACCATATATGATTGACACTTTTTTGATAAAATTAACCCAATTTGAGAAAACGGGATCAATAGATAAAATTAATTTTTGCAGGGAAATCTGAAAAAAATACCCAATTTTGAAACTAGAAGTCAATCACGTACATCGTGACCTTCACACTCGTGTTGTTCGATATTGAAATTTATCTTCATTTTAACAAAGGAAATAAACAGAACTTAAGAAATCAAATGTCCAACCTAAAAAAGTGTATTTGAGCCTGAACAAATTTTAAAACTTTCCCTGCAGAAAAACATGAAGACGACCCATTTAAGAGTCTGAACTACAGAAATCGACTCTTAAACGGTATTTCTTAAACGGTATTTCTTAAACGGAAATCGACTCTTAGAGTATAACTAGATCCAATGGCAAGCACATTGACGGTGACCTGAAATTTTCCATTAGGCGCAACTTCTACGAAGAACAATTTGATCATATTTGGTTTGGTAACCCTATCATCCTTTAATTCAACAAAGCCAAACATAGAGAAAACAAATAACATTAAAACTTTTTGACAACGGGCACCTGTTTTTTCGAGGTTATCCCAATTGGAGAAAACTGAATCAAAGGCTAATTTTTATTTCACTGGGAATTCAGATGATTAAATTCCACTTTCGAAACCAAAATTAGTTCATTTTGTTGGTTACCTTTACACTTTTGTTGTTCGATAGTGGAGTTTGCTTTCCTTCTAACAAAGGAAAAGAACTTCAAAAGTCAAACAGCGAAAAATCTTATTTGAGCGAGAACAAACTTTAAGACTTTCTTTGTCTGAAAAAACATAAAAAATCATCATGACCTATATAAGTGAAAATAACATCGTTCTCCAACACTTTGGAAAAGAGTATGAACGCAAGGAAACTGGAAAAAAAAACACTGACTTTCTTGAAAAATTCAACACGGCCGTATTAAGCGTCTCCAATGCCTCCGTTGACACTATATCAAAATCCAGTGAAAAGATAAATCGATAAAACAAAAACATCGCCAATCGAAGATTGGAAAAGGGCATTGAACGCAAGTAAACATAAAAAAAAACTTTCTTGAAAAACCACAATTTTCGAATTTCAAAGAAAAAAATAGATGCCCTTTAAGCTCTGAAATTCTAGAAAAATTTAAGATTGGAGCTTTCTTGATAACATGAAACCAACTTAAGAAAACTGGATCAATAGGTAAAGTTTTTATTCCGCTGGGAAATCTTAAAAATAAATTCCACTTTCGAAACTAGAAATCGTTCACGTTTTTTCGTGCCATTTCCAGGTTCGTATTTGAAGAGTGCCATTTATGTCACTTTCAGCAGATGAATTCAAATTGAACTCAGAAAGTGCATTATACCTAAGTGCATCAATGTTTTAAGACTTTTCCTTAAAAAAAAAAGAAATCAGCAAGACCTATATAAAAGTCTTCACAACGTTCAAAAAGGCGACTTGTTTTTCCAAAATCTTCAGCTTTTCAATTTCAAAGAAAAAAAAAGATGGCGTTAAAGCTCTTTGAGTTTGTAGAACAATTTATGATGGACACTTTTTTGTAAAAATCAACCCAATATGAGAAAAATGGATCAATAGGCAAAACTTTAATTTTGCCGGGAAATCTGATAAATAATTTCCATTTTCGAAATTTGAAGTCAATAACGTTTTTCGTGACCTTTACGATTTTGCTGTTCGATAGTGGAGTTTGCCTTCCTTTTAACAATAGAAATTCACTGAACTCAGAAAGAACTCACAAGTCAAACCGCGAAAAATCAAAGTTGAGCGTGAACAAATTTTCGGACTTTTTCCTGAAAAAAAAACAAGCAAAAAATCAGAAAGACCTATGTAAGAGTACTCATAACGTTCAATACTCCTCACAAAAATCTATACAATCAAAACATTTGTCTTCAATAGTCAAGTAGAAGTATAGAATTACAACTTAAAATTATCCTTTAAGATAACCTAAGTGACACATTGTCGAAGCTTCGTAAACACTAGCGAGAACACGATAAAACGCAGCTCTAAAAAAGCAATAAAAACTAGAAATAATCTTCGAATTAGTGAAAATTGGCTACGTCTCGGAATCAATCTGCAACCTAAAGGCTATGAAACTCATGCACTAACCACTCATCCACGGACGCTTATTAAATCACAAACTCTAACCAAAAATAAAGCAGAGGACAGATGCTATAAAATTTCTTATCATACAGATCGTGATTATATCAAAAAAGCAACCAAATAAAAAAAACATTTTTAATGAAAAGTTTTATTTGCAAGTCAGGTTAGAAAAAAGAAGGTTCGTACTAATACACTACGCTTAGCAAGCTGGCTAGTGTGAACAGCCTGATCTATTTGAACAAACCAA